GGCCATGATTCCAAACATCTCCTAATTGACAAACTCTACTCTTACTGTTTATATGTTATTTTAAAGTATCCCTATTGTTTCTGACAATTGTCTAAAACCTCCCCTACCATCAACTCTCCATCATAAACCGTTTACATGTAATATCAAGTGATAAATATATTGTTCAAAAATTCCTAAAATACCCTTCTCGATTAGGGCAAAGGGAGGTTAGACTCTGTTCTCTATTAAGAGATAGAGAACAGACCGGTTCTACTGTCGAATTGGCTCACCAGCATCAACACGATACATGACAGGGAAGAAGAAAGAAGGATTGGAGATTAGTGAGGGAGGTGGTAGTGGAGGGGAGGACAATGGATCTATACTTGGGGGAGTTACTTGAGGGTTCCGGATATCGAGGTATCGCCGGAAACAGTTATCGTGGAGTCGTTGCCATCAGAAATGTTGGACAAGACGAGTGTGTCAGAGGGGTATTTCAATAAACTCGGTATGGATAGTGGGAAAGACTACGTTGGTGGTGGTGGTGGTGGAAATGGAAGGGTGCAAGAAAAAATAGCATTGCCGGAAATCGGAAGGACTTGGTGGTGTCAAGATAATGGCGAGGTTCCGTATCCTGGAAATTTTAATAATTTGGTCAAATGGTGGTCTGAAATCCGATATTACAGAGAATAATTGTGTGAAAGAAAAATGTACATTCATTCTCTGACATATTTGGAAGAATAAAAACAAAAAAAAAAAAGCGAAAACAAAGAGGATTCCCCTCAAACTATTTTGGAGAGAGCTTGTAAAGCTTTTTCTGAATATTGGGAGTTCTCATTTCTTTGCTATGGGAAAATTAAAATAAACTTTGATGCTTGTCGTGATATTGATGGTTTATGTTCTGTGGCAGCAATTGTTAGAGACCATTTAGGCAAAGTTTTGGACTTTAAAAGTTTTCGCTTGGCACTTCTATAAATGCGGCGAAGGCTTGGGCAGCTTGGGAAAATCTGGCCCTCAACTTTAGCAACCAGCCAATTACTATTGAAGGGGACTCGAACATTGTTATATGTTGTCTCAAAGGGATGATCTCTCCTCCATGGAATCTTAGGAACATCATTTCAGGATGCTTGCAGATGAAGGAGACAATGGATGGTGGTGCGACCTACAAGCACGTGTTTAGAGAGGCGAGGAGGTGGATTGGCTTGCTCATAGGGCGATGTCTTCTTCTAATCATGGTTTTTTAAATCGAACCAGTCAGGGCACAGTTTTCTAGTTTGGCAGTTCAATCATCTGGGTCGAGTGGTTTGACCCATAACATCATAAATAAATAAAATAAAAAACACCATAGAAATTTAAATAAAATACAAAGAAAAATACAGGTAAAATAACAACATATGAAAAAAATAAAAATATCTAAATATAAAAATAATAAAATACAAAAAAAATACAGAAAAAAAAATCCAAAAAAAATATGTAAGCAAGAATATGTAATGAGCACCTGTTTTTTTGAGAAGAAAAAAGCATATCAGTTCAGAAAAAAAAAAATTATCTGAACATATTTTGAGAATAAAGCATAAATTTCATATCAAAACATATTTTGAGAAGAAAAAAGAAAGAAAATTCAGAAAAATATAGGATGAGACCCTGTTTTTTTATAGGATACGAAGAAGAAGAAGAATGTGTTGATTTGATAAAATTTGAGATATTCCTTGCTTATCAGTTCAGGTTTTGAAGCCTTCGAGGGTATAAGCCTGCATACATCTTGTGTATTGAGTCAGCAAGCTCACTGAGTGTCGAGTGTCGTTGGAAGCTTGCCATCTGCCGCTGCAAGTGCTTGGGTAAGGGTGACTCTTTTCATTGTTGCAAGTTCATCGGTCGTCTTCGGTGTGTGTCGTCGTCGGATGCCAGAGTTGATGGCCACCGCAAGTGGTAGGGTGTGAGGGTTGAGACTTGAGAGGACTGAGGAGTGAGGAGGGAACTCGGGAAATAACCCTAAGGGCTAAACTGAATAAGGGACTGGGATTCGAAAATCGAACTGGTTGGGATATTATTGGTATTTTATTTTTTGTTTTTTATTTAAAACATTAAAAATAAAAATATTAACCCGCGAACCACTACCCGGGTCGAATGGTTTAGCGGTCTGACCACCCGAGTCAACGTTTTTTTTTTACTTTTCAACGTTTTTTGTCAAATTTCCAGTTTCTAGTAAAACCGGACCCGGGTGGCTAATCGGTTACCGGTTTTCCGGTCCGGTCCGGTCCGGTTTTGAAAACCATGCTCCTAATGGTTTTGTTTCCTTTGATATTTGTAATCTTCTTAAATACCTTGGGCAAGTGGAGAGATACCCAAAAGTGGTGGTGTCAACAGCACCCCTAGCATGAGGGGCACTATTTGCTACGCCACTCCTGAGTATGGTGGTGTTGGGAAGCTCTCTGAGAAATGTGATGTCTATAGTTATGGAGTTCTGCTGTTGGTTCTGATAGCTGGTCGGCGGCCCCTCCAAAGTGAGCTGACCAGTTCATGTTCAAAGATGAAGCAATAAAAGCCGTTTCTTTCACGGGTGGGCGTTGACGCGTACATGGTCCGAACTCGGAAGAATGCAGGATTTATGGGTTATGAAAGTGGATGGGAGTGGGACCCTCAGTGGATATCCCTCAGTCCACAGTCCACAGGCCGGTCTCACTCCGACGATGACACGAAGTTTCTTTGTCTACTTGTACCTGTAGACCCACCGATCGATCATCCGTTGCAAAAGCGGAAATCTGGTTACGAAGAGCAACAAAAGGTCAACCGTGTTACCAGCGTAATGTGGGCTTAGGCACTCTCTCTCTCTCCTAGACTCCCCTAGCCTAGGATTGATGATACACACCGAGTCAAATCATTTATGTCCTCGAGTGTTTGTGAATTGGCCAGTTCATAGACATCCTAGGCCCTCTCTCTTTCTCTATCTCTATCTATTTATCTATCTATCTCTCTGGGTCACAGAGAAATTGAATAACCAATCTGGCAAAACCTGATTGCTTGCGGGAATTATAAAGAAAACTAGAGAACGCCGTAGCTGCCCTGTTGGCTTCATCCTATGTAGGATTTTTCTTGACTTTCAGACAAGTGGGGCACAGACACCCTTGATTTGTTTTTTCTTTAGTTTATCTTATTAATTGATTAGAGGCCCACGCACGCTTACAGCATTTTTGCCTAGTATTTGTTTTTCTTTTAAATAAACACAGAAGGATGAGAAAAGACAGCTTCATGAAGCTCATGGAGCAGCAGCAGCATCTCATTGGAGAGCCTGGAATACCTTGTGAAGCAAGTTGTATAGCAGAGAAAAGAAAACTGAAAAACATGAATCAAGTCCACGGGTCAGTCATGCTACAAGTTGGAATAAATATTGTGTAAAAGAAAATGAATGTGTTTGAATTGAAGCAAGAATGGAAGTTCAAACTTCAAAGTGGTCTTTTCCTTGCACCTTCTATAGTTTGAAGTTCAAACTTCAAACTATTATTAATTCAACCTAACACCCCTACTTTCTAGTGCCCAAGTCAAATGGCTTCCTGACCACAATATCCTAAAGTCAACCATGGATTAAAAATATCAGCAATGTTGGAAGTTTCAGTTCAGTTGGACCATCATAAATTCTTTAAATTGCAAAGAAAACGAAAGAAAAAGAAAATAATGCAGACTGTAGAGAGGGGTGGGACCAATTTTGCTGCTTCTCACTCTTTATGGTTTCATTCTACTTTCTTTGAGTTTTAGAGAGGTCAAAGGGGATATAAAAAGAAAACGTCTTCCTATTTTAACTTAATTTTTCTTTCACTTTTGATTTCTTTTTCTTTTATTTTTTTGGTGGTAAACGTATATTGGTTTATTTGTCAGTCAAACAAAAACCACTAGATTTTTTCTTCCATTTTCTTCTTAACCAACCACAATGTGATATCTCTGACATAATATTTGCAAAATAGGGTGCAAAAATACCAATACATAGGAATAAGGTGCTAAAAATACAGCACCTTTATTTACAATTGGAATTAGATCATGAATCTAATTCTAGTGCATTTTGAAATGGATTTATTTCTCAGTGGCTTATGTTTCGCATTTCACAAGGTGTACTTGTCATTAAAGTCCCTAACCAAGTTAAAGATATCAGTGTGATGTCACTTTATCACTGGTTCATTCATGTTTGAATCACTTATGTTTGAGTTTTTCTTTTTTTTTTTTTTGGTAAGTACTCATGTTTGAGTTATGTTGTAGCAATTTCCATAAAATGCACCATAAATTTTATCTTAGAGACTTAGATCATAGGGATTTCAAGTAAAATCATATTTCCTTTTTGTTTTAACAAACAGAAAGGAATTCATTCATTTTGAGCTGGATGCCATCACGTTGTGTTTGTGTTTGTGGAACTAACTTCTGATTCGGATATTATGCAAAACTTCATGGCTTCCAAACTGGCTACTGTTTTTGGTCTAACAAGAATGAATTTGTTTAGAAGAATCTATTGCCATTTCAGTGCTGTTCCAATTCAAATAGTGTGTCCTGCATATGTTATGAAATTATGGAAGATGCCCAATTCCAATGTAATTAGTTTTAGTGCATTCAAATGCCCCAATTAGACTTTCAACATACATGAACATGACCCGAATTAACAATGAATATGGTTTTTAAATAAAATGGATTAAAGAGAGAGGATTCATGTAGCCAACCCCATATAGTTGGGACAAGGCATGGATGATGATGATGATGATGCTATGTCACTTTGTAACAAATCCCATAATGCCTACATAAAACAAACGGACAGGATTTGAACACCCAAATGCGCTGTAAATGCCTCACTATACTTTGTTTATCATTTCATAATGGAACCTTTTCTTTTACCATTCATAATAGCTCCATTGTGATGTGTTCAATACCCAAAAATTGCACTTTGGGTTCACAGAATCAATTAAAGCCATATGGTACCCCAAACAATTTGACAATTTAATATTATCACACACACACACACACACACACATATATATATATATATATGCTAATGACAATTGACACGCAATATTTGATTTATCAGAAAAATAACCTATTTAAAGTGCATACAAAAGGTACAACTATTCCCCTGCCAAGGAGAACTCTTATACACCAAAATGGCTAATTACAATAGATGATACAAAGGCAAACCAATTTCTTGGTTCCTGCTATAATGTGCAAAATACCTTGCAGTTCGATTGTTAAGTCCATCAGATGACCCTGCAGCCAGACCTCAACCAGCGATCAGAGGATAGATATCATAACAGTCATTGATTAATGATAATATTACTTTCATGCGTGGAGCCATTTGACTTGATCAAGTCGTGAGGTGAACCCAATTATTGCCTTTGTACACCATTGCTGATATATGCCAAGTACAAAATGTAGTTTTCTGCATCACATTGAATCATCGGAGTCATCAGAATCACTTCTTTCCGGCTCGCCACCAGCTGTACCAGTCTCTGGAACATCTGGTTTTGTTGCAGGTTCAGGTGCAGCTTTTTCAGGTGCTTTTGGTGCATTCTCATCGCCATCTTCCACTTCAACATGTGAACTGCAATTACCAAGTCAAGGGAAAACACAACATATATGCACAAAAATACAGAGTACTTTCTGACTCAATATGCCTAGAAGTTTATTTTACCAATAAGATGAGCCTCAATATGCAGAGTTTAATAAATCAATTGTACACCCTCTCTCTACCTGAGAAATAGAATTCTGCAGTGTAAATGATACCCACTTAAATCATGAACCACCGTGTACAAATAACATAGATCTAAGAGTCCAGAACAGATTATGCCATGTGGTCCACCAATTCAAATTCTCCTCTAGTAAACAAGTATTCAAGATGAAATTAGAGCCAAGAAACAAAGGATATCAACATTTTCTGCTGTTCCACCAGCCATAATGTTCACCAGATCTTTCTCGACCCGCTGCACAAGCTCAGGCTGCAAGCATGCCAATGCACATAAAACACTAATACTGCAAAATAAGGAAAGCAAAGATGAGAATTATAAGGATGATTCCTAGTTTCTTACATTTAGATCAGGTTCCCTACGAAACCTTCGCCTTCGAGCATCTCTCATTGGAGGTGTAAGCCCATGTCTATACTCCACTCCATCTGGGGCAGGATCACCCTCTTCTCTTACCATAATTATCTGTCACAAACCCAGGATTCTAATTTATATGGTAGATCAAAGGTTGGGATTAACCATAAGAAAAGTATTAATGCCAGATTCTGCACCTGGCCAATGTCTGCAGTTTTGATGAGAACATTATCATCGTAAGTTTTGTATGACTCCACAATGCAAGGAAGATCCAAGAGAGCAGCAGGAAAATGGTCGTTACCAATTACAAAAGTTCCATTCCTTCCATCCTCTGCAACATAAGAATACAAGGTACCAATGGGTATTAAAATCCTTTCTTCAGCCAATAAAAAGAATATTCACTTCAGATGGCAACACACAATGAAAAAACTAAAATCAAGACAGCATGTAATCAATTGGACCCAAGTTTTAGACTTCAGCTATAGTATTTCTTGGCAAGGGTAGCCAAAATGAAAGATAGAAAAGAAATAAAGAATTATGTAAAGGCAAAAAAATAGGTAAATGATATAAGTTGCCAGACAGGGCTATGAATTCTCATTTCTCTGTAAAATATAAATCCGATATTCTTTGGAACTTTTTGTCAGGATTCTAATGAGATATCAAGATTTCAGTGGTTTCTTGTTATTTTAGGCAGGCAGAAACCTAGGATGAAACCAAAATGTTAAGCCTTGCCCTCAATAAGGCACATTACTAATCCAAAAACCTTTAATAGCTTATTAGTTGACTGCACCCAAAAATAGGGAGCCAATGACTAACAAAGATGATCGCCAATTTCTTGTCCTTTGCATACATTGTGATCCATAAAATAGCACAATCCACCACCCTCTGATATCTTTAAAAGGTCCTTGTTCCCAAACAGAGGGCATGTTGTTAGCATAAGGTGTCAAGCTAAAGGTAAGAATTATTCAAGCACCTGAAGAAAATCCTGCTGGTATAAGTGTATCACACAACAAATTTGCTAAACATCATTACCTCCATACCAACCTTTTCTGTTTCTCAAACAACCTCCTTAATTCTCTTTATTTAAGTGGATGTTTGATAACAATTGAAGTGGCAAACTGAAAAACTTATTGCTTTGTCTTTTGGTGAACAAATTTTTAAGGAGATTATGAGATCCTTAATGGCTGAAGCTGAAGTTAGATTACTATACCCTTGAATATTTTATTATTTAGTTGTTTATAAGTATTTATAGTTTAACCATTCTATCCATTATAAACCAAAGCAATAAGTTACAGTTCAGCAACTTCAGCTGTTATCAAACGGCCCCTTAGTCTGATTGTTTGAAGGCAAAAGGGAAGCTTCTGCAATGTGCAGTTGGCAAGCTTGCTTCCTGGATTGCTGTCAGTCCAGCTTTTAATCAAGTGAATGTATTTCATGTTCTGAGAACAGACAGTCTGGTGTCTGTAATGGCGATTGTTTCAGCCATTCTTGGGCTGACTGCTGTTGTATTCTAGTTCTCTTTTTAATAAATTTGCATTACCTTCTCAAAAAAAAAAGGAAGCTTCTAGATCACCCCGTGCTTACTGAATTAGGCATTACCCAATCTCTTTATTGCATGTTATGCAATATCTTGTCCTCATCTATGGATAACCTCTTCATCCAATATCCAATTTGGTTTTTTCTTTTTTTTTTTTTGATAGATGAATATCCATTTGGTTTTGGATATTTAAGAATTATAATATCCATTTGTCAAGAAGTGTAGTCCAGTGTTTTCAACCTGCCGTTGACCCAGCCGTTCGAACCGTCACCCAAAACTGTTGACTTGGTCAAGAACCGTCTGAACCGGTCACCAGGTCGCAGGTTGCACACTCAACGTATGCAAAGTTACAAACTTTTGGAGGCCATAACTTTGCACTCCGATGTCCAATTGGGGTGATTTTTCTTTTTTTTATTTTGGGTAACTTTTCGAGATCTGTGTCCCTATGACACCTTGCCCCGCTATTTTCACAAAAAAAAAACCTTTTTTGGCCTCAAATTGCAATTTTTAATATTTTTTACAAATAAAAAAAATTAAAAACTGAGTTAAAATATATAAATTAAATATAAAAATAGATATAAATATCTGAAACATATTTATACATTATTTATTGATAAAATATAGTTATACACATATATACATATGTATATAAATACATATATACTTAATACATATATATGATGACATGGAATGGTTTGAACCATTCGACCCGGGCCGGTCAAACCAGTGACCCGCGACCCGGAGGCAAAAAAAGTTTGGCCTCCGGGTCGGTTTTTAAAACATTGGTGTAGTCTACTGTACCTGCCATTTTGGCGTCAGCATCCAATCTATCTAGGTTTCCTCAGAATTGAGTGGATAACTAAAAGATTAACTTCCCCAAGTGGAAACACCAGTAGGTTCAACTTTGACAGCTGTTTCTTCAGGAACTTTGGGCCTCTTAGTACTGGGAGTTACTACTCTCATGTATTCAAATCCAGTGCATTTGGGAGACTCAATAAGAGCATAAATTCTATCTATCCATCCATTAGGGACTATGTATTTTAGTATCCAAGGATTATTAGGGTCCCATCACTACAGGAGACTCCATATTGTGATACCTTGGATTGAGGGAGACTGGGAGAGAGCTTCAAGACCATGGGAAACTCATTTATCAGGTTACAGACGATTAGGCTCTAAGGTCCAGTCTAAACCCCCTTTTATCAAAAACCATTTGTGTGTATTACTTTGAATAAAAAATGAAATATATAGAAAGAAGATGTGCCTCAGAAAAGGAGAACCAACTCCTGTCTATCTCCTCACTGATGTGTTCTTTGCAAAGCGAACAGTGAATCCTGCTTTCACGTACTAATCTCCTCATTTGAGAATGGTTCTTTGCTTTATTTGGTCAGAGTTGGTCTCCTCCTTCCAATACACTTGGTCAAAGAAGACAAGTAGAGTCATGTGGAGAGGCCTAAGAGATATTGTAACCTGGACACTGGGAGGAGAGGAATGCAAGAATCCTTAAGGAGAATGAGAAATAGAGGTCCAAAGAAGCAGTCATTGAATGCATAACAATCAGGATGGTTCATTGGCTGAAACCCATTATGAGGAAGTAACAGGAAGTGGCTCTTACCTCAGTTTTGAAATCTAGGATTAGCACTTCTTGGACTCCTCTAGAGGTTGGGTACATAAAACTCAAGGCCTTCAGGTGTAAGGAGGTGTATTCTGGAATGAAATAGGACATGTGATGGCTCTGTTCTCAGGTCAGATTGGTATTAGGGATTCCCTGAAGGCTGAAATGTTGGCAGTTTTGGAAGGCATAACTAGAGCAAAAGAGCTGAACGTACATAAATTGATCATTGAAGGAGATTCAGAACCTGGTAATCAAGTGGCTTTTAAACAACGGGATTGATTTCTGGATAGAGAACAATGAGTTCAAAAGGTTTAAATGGATAGCCAGGGGAATGGATATTAAAATTCAATGGGTGCAAAGGACGGCTAACAGCATGGTTGATGCTATGGCAAAACAAGGGGTCGAGAGGACTCAAATTGTCAAGACTGTTGGAACAGACCAACAGAAGGCAGTTAGT